TGGCATCACTCCTGGGTACCAGGTTAAGGAAAAGGAGAAACTTTATATTCAGTTGAACTGTGCAACCCGAAAAGTCCACTCATGATTACAACCGTACATCACAAAAGACAGATTTGCCAGTGCATATTTTCGCTGATACTGGGCAGTAGCCAATCTGATCGCTTTGGTTCAGATCCAGAAATTCTGGTGACAGCTTCTTCAAAAGTCCGCTTTGCTCTATACAGAATAGTCGCCACTGAAACCGTAGCCTGCACAAATTGTACTTTGGCCGGCAGAAGCAAGATGCCGTTGAAATCTGATTTTTTATGAGCAATGCTCGTTAAGCGTAATTTATTTTTTGACTCATTTTCTCTAGAAATGAGAATAATTTGCCAGTAACAGTAAGCATAACACCAACTATGTGCGGTCTGCTACAAGTTTGGTGGATCACAGGTTTTGCCATACTCTCACTGTGTACGAAATAATAGCTTTTTGACAATTTTTTCAAAGATAACTTTTGCATTATTTCATTTAACGTATTTTACCCTATTTCATACTCTCGTAAATATGACACGTGGCTTAATTATTCAGATAATATAGTTAGATTTGAAAAGCAACGCTAGCCTAAAATATGGTCTCTAGACATTATCTTAGACTTCGTTAAATGGAAGTAATGTTGCCGAACATCCAGACTGAGAAAGATAGTAGAAATCTCTCAGATATTACGGTATTGTATTAATTCACATGTTGTCGTTTAGGCCGATTCACCTTACAGCAGTGTGCTGACTTTGTTTCCTGTTGATTACGACCCGGCGTTGCTTTCGGTGGGTGATAGCAGCAAACTGCACGTTTTGGCTAGTCTCCTAGAATGTGTATTCGCTGATTATCCGAACGACAAAGTTGTCATCGCTTCTAACTTTAGCAAAGTATGAATCTTTGTCTAAATGCAGTTTCGTTTATTTTTTAGTTGTTATCTTCATTTGATCATTTTTTCACAGCAGATGCTTGATTCTGCGAAGATGGTGGGAGTTTCATCAACTACTGACTTTTGACCGTAATCAGACCATGGTTACCACCGCGGTGCTTTTCAAATAATTCATCATTTCCGTGATGGTCATTGGTATCATTATCATTATCAGAGTTTCATCGATATACTTATCAGACTATTTTCATTCAGACGTTACGGTGACATTCTATGGTTTCTGGCAATCTATTGTGCTGCTCGATAGTCGTTAAGCTTAGTCGAACAAGTTGTTTCTTCGTGTGTCATAGGGAGTGTCTTTATCTGGTACAACTTACTTGGTAGAGGATCAGACTCATGGTCGAAATTTGAGAATTTCCGAGTTTTGCCATTGTGTCTGCAGAGGATAACGTTTCTCATTTCATTCTCTTGTTGCTTCTGCCACTGGTATCAAGTTCGGTTGCTTAATTGCAGTGATTAGGTGCAGGTGGCTACGTTGTACAGGAACCTGGCTGCGCTGTCAAACCCTTATCCTTTCGCATCCGAGCTTGGGACTGCCAGCGGAACAGTTAAAGTTCTGCGTTGTGTACGTAATGAACCGTTTTTATGTTATTCTCCAGATGCATTAGAAGCACTAATCCTGTTGGTATGTATTTTAACAATGATAGCAGTAGTGATAGCGTAAAAGAAGTATTTCGAAAATAGGAAGAAGTAGAAATAACTGTAGTTGCAGTGGTATAAGTAATGGTAGTCGCAGTTCATGTAATTCTAGTTGTTGAAGTACTAGCAGTTGCGCCAGAACGGTGACAGTACTGGAATACGTAGAAGGAGCAGAAATGCAGAAGAATGAAAAGAACAACATCAGGCAGTTGTAAATCATATTGCTAGTTGTAGTATTACTTAGAGCAGTGGTGGTGATAGTAGTGATATTAGTGAGAGAATTACTGTAGTTTTAGTGATAACAATGTTAACAGTACTAGATTTGATGCAGCAGAAGGTAACAGAAAATAAAAAGAACAGTATCGATGGCAACATATAAGTGAAACGAGACAAGAATAACAATAAGAAACGTATATTCTCCTATCCAACACAGTTATGCCAATACTGATGTACTATTTTGTGTAATACAAAGAACGGTAGTAGATATAACCATTTCTGATCGTCCTGAATGTCGCACTTGATACTATCACTGTAAGATGTTTCAGTTAATCTAGTTTACTTATACTGCTCATATATAGATTTGACCAACGCTACAGCCGTGCGCAGCGTGAGATGAGGTTCGCAGTGCCTTTTGCTCATCGTTGCTTTGATGCGGCTTTCCGGATCTTCGTGTGTAACATGTGGCATAGTTCCATGAGCAGCGACACATACAGTGACATGGTAGAGCTACTGGTCGTTTGTCTAGTTCCGTCACTGACTTACGCCTGATCAAGAACCGATTTCACA